AAGACAACGAAACTGACACTGACGGGAAAACAACCAGTTCACCACCTTTCGCCTCACTTCAGATCGCGTCCACTGGTCGAAGAAAGATAACGGTGAGGTGGTCTGGTTGGATGGGTAGCCGTTTGAGCTGTATTATCCTTTGAACCGTCAAATCGGCCATGTATGGGCGGCCAGCCGCTCGAACTTGCTGGCCTTCGCCGCCGTCAAACATCCGGGTAATATCCAGATCTGAAGCATGTTCAGCTGCTTAGCAATGCTCCAATAGGACATAGTGTCACATAATACCGCCATCAGCGTCAAGTATTACCGGAGCAACATACTGGCCAATGAATGATTGGAGGCGCTCAACCAGACGGCATAGGAGGGCACGGTTTTTTAACGCGCACTGATGCCTGATTCAAGCCACGCTGTTTTCATGCGGGGCGGCGGCGGGCGCGCTACTTAAAAAGTCCCTGAAAGAATGGGAAGTGATTCCGATAGAACCTATTATCATTCTGGGCTAACGCTTATGACTTGGAAGAAGTCGCGATCCCAATTCAATCGAAAACCTGAGGGCTCTTGTTCAGCAGGTATGAAGGGTTAGCAGGTTCAGGTGGTATGAAGAGCCACCCGCCATAAGCATCGCTCAACCGTAGGCACAGGTTTAGACGGCGTTGGTCCGCATCAAAGCCAGTGTGCTGGAGAATCCATTGGCTGAAATGCTCCAGAACATAATCGCCACTGTGTTTTTATGAAAGGTGGCTACATGCTCAGTTAAAAGAAAAAGTACCAGATTGTTTTGCTTTTTAATTACAGCGGGAAGAAAGGTGTCCGGATAATTTCGTTACACCCCCTGTAATGTTCAAATGGTTGCTAAATTCGAAATCAGCTCCAAAAACTAGCCTAGAAACATGTAAAACTCGAAAAAGTGAACCGAGGTCATCAAAGGTCATTGAGCTGACCTGACCTTCAGGTGACTTTGACACCCACCCTAATGCATGGGACCAGCATCATATCACATGTTTCAACGCTTGAAGCCACGTGAAGACAGCAACCGCGCGGCTAATGCGAGCCGACATACGCCGAATCGCGATTCGGGCCAAACATGGTCTCGAGAAATAGGTCACAGGTCAAAGGTCATTTGGGTCAGGGTCATGAAATTTTTAGGGTAGGTGTAAAATTGATAAAATCGGGGGTATTGAAAGTTTCGTCGCGATCGGACGGTTTTTACGCGAGTTACTCACGAAAAACCGGTGGAGGGAAAAGCGCACCCAAAAAGGTAGAAATATGCACATGCGATATCCTATACTGCGAAAAAAGCTGCATCATTTTTGAACGTCGCCGACAAATTGTAATTACCCTAATCTCAGGCAGATGTATCGTAGAAAATCCCTCAAGTGAAATACACTACGGCGGAAATAAAATACCCTACGGCGGAGCTCGGTTGCAATTTGTAAATACGCCGCGGCCCGACGCACCACGCGTATTTGGAAATTCCGACCTCGACGAGCATCAGAAGCCACCTAACAGGCGTGTTCGAAACCGCAGGAGATGATGATGAACGGGTTTATCGAAACTTGATTGGATGAGCCTATCGGTAATAGCGATTTTAGTGTGTGCATTTATTGTTCATAGTGGTGTGAAATGTGGTTGGGGTACGACCGACAACCCGTCGGGGCGAATTTCGCACTGGGGTACTCAAAATTTGAAGAATTTAAGACGTTTCCATAAGTTTTGAAGGTATGGATAAGTTCTAAAAATCCGGTTCTCCTTATCCGGGTCATTAACTCCATATGGTCCAAGAAAGCTGGCACACTACCTTTAACATGGGGTTTGAGTTGAGATAGCCAAGTTTGCGGCGAGGTTCAGAAACCACTATCTATCTAGGTTGCAACCCCCGCGGCCTCTTGGTGTTGAAGAAATTCGTTCCCTTCATTTGAAAATGGGCCTTGCGCAAGGCCCTATCTTCAACATGGAGCGACCGTTAGTGTGACGTCACCTCGTTTAGTCATTCGATTTAAATGGGTTTGTTCGTTGAAAAATCGCTTAAAACTTGGTCTGAACTTTGTTGTGGTGCCTACAGAGTAAAAAGAATCAGCTTTATGACAGTGATGTGGCCTGGGGAAGGAGGCAGTTTTGGGCTGTGACGTCACATATTTGAAAGTTTGTGTTTGGAATATGGGAAGTCTAAGATGTTTAATGAAAAATAAATGCCAGAACCGTGTTCCTGGTCATCCAATCTATAAAGTCGGGCACAATTTAACTGGTTTTAACAACATTTTAGAAGGTGGGATACTTCCTTTAACCCTCGCCCTGGCAGGGGGTCGATGCGACCCCCCCCCCCTAAGGTTTTTCGAAGATAGCGTAAAAACGGCGGCGCGCAGCGCCGCCAAATTTGGCACAGCCTATGGGGCCTAAATTTGGCACAGCCTATGGGGTCGATGCGACCCCCCCCTAAGGTTTTTCGAAGATAGCGTAAAAACGGCGGCGCGCAGCGCCGCCAAATTTGGCACAACCTATGGGGCAACCTTTTTACATATGACCTGAAAATTTCAGGTCCGGGTGACGTTGGGTCAGTTCACCAGGTCAGAAAAACCGGCACAAGGTCATGGTCAAATTTCAATTTTCTCTTTGCACCTGTCCAACTCACAGTTTTCGACTGATTTCCTTCAAACTTTCAGGATGTGCTAAGTTCACCGAGTTGTATAACATATAGTCCGGCTTTTTTGAGGTCACTGACCTGAGGTCAGTTAGAGGTCATTACGTCGTAATGTTAAGCCTATGGGAAAATACTAAATTAGGAAAATACTGGAGATATCCGCTTCGTTCTATCACTTTTGTGCTTTGAAACCATGGTACTTAACAGCGGGTCACTTGGTGCTTCTTTGTTTGGTGTACTTATCCATGGGTCAGGTCAAATGAGGTCAACTAAGGTCAAATGACGTTTTTGCAAATAACTTGGCACATAATGACGCTAGAGCTTAAAAAATGGTACCATTGTGTTCCTGGTGATCTGCCGAATCGAATGATATGCGATATGATGCAATTTGGTTAACTTGCACTTAATTTATTAATTTAAGTTTACTTAAAATTTAAGAAAAACTTTAAGTACACTTAAGAAAGCTAAAAAGTATATCGTTCGACGCGCCTTGACGTGCTGAGGTCACTGGTGCTTTTCTTTTTTCTCTATCTTAATTAGATCAAAAGTTATAAGCGAAAAACCTTTGACCTGTTTTTAGCGAAATTTTTACATTTATACCCCCAAAACCCCCCTAAATATTGACCTAGAGCAACCAAATTTGCACAGGGGCGAGAACTCTAGGGGGCCCGCCTACCTACCTAATTTGGTGTTTCTAGGTGCCATAGGAGCCAATCGCGAGGGGGGGTCGCATCGACCCCCCCCCCCTGCCAGGCCGTGTTATGAAAAATGCCCTGCCAGGGCGAGGGTTAAGTATTTACCTAGCGGCCGCCATCTTATCTTATATCGTTTTTCGTATATTTTGTCCTACATTTAAGCCCATCGTGAACATGTGAACACAGTTACAAGTTTGTCCCCAACAGTTGTAATCTTGTTAACCCATTTACGCCCTTCGTTGCGTTTTCGCAACGCAAGCAAGCGTCGACGTGATCGAAGCTTGAGAAGTGTGTAAAAGAGGCTCACCGATGAGACAAGTTTCAGCGTGTGTAGCATGGTTGTGCGCATGATGCTACGCAGTTACAAGTCTGTGCGGCCGGTTAGTTACTGCCTAGAGCTCCCAGAGGGAAGTCGAAGGTTTTGTGAGTGATGACGTCACGAAAACCAAGATAAGTAGGCTAAGTGCTTAACCCTCGCCCTGACAGGGGGGTTCGATGCAACCCTCCCCCCAAGGTTTTTCGAAGATAGCGTAAAAACGGCGGCGCTGCCAAGGTTGGCACAGCCTATGGGGCAACCTTTCTACATATGACCTGAAAATTTCAGGACCGGGTGACCTTGGGTCAGGTCACCAGTTTAGAAAAACAGGTACAGGTCAGATGACCTGGTCAGGTCACCAGGTCAGAAAAACCGGTACAAGGTCATGGGTCAAATTTCAATTTTCTTCATGCACCTGTCCAACTCACAGTTTTGGACTGATTTCCTTCAAACTTTCAGGATGTGTTTAGTTCACCGAGTTTTATAACATATAGTTCGTTTTTATGTCACTGACCTGAGGTCAGTTAGAGGTCATTACGTCGTAATGTTCTTAGCCTACGGGAAAATATTCAATTCGGAAAATACTGGAGATTTCCGCTTCGTTCTATCACTCTTGTGCTTTGAAACCACAGTAGTTAACAGCATGTCACTTGGTGCTTCTTTATTTGGCGAACATATCCATGGGTCAGATCAAATGAGGTCAACTGAGGTCAAATGACGTTTTTGCCAATAACTTGTAACACAATGACGCTAGAGCTTAAAAATGGTGTCATTGTGTTCCTGGTGATAAGCCGTATCGAATGATATGCGATATGATGCAATTTGGTTAATTTGAATTTAATTAATTAATTAAAGTTTCCTTAATAATTAGGAAAATTTTAAGTACACTTAAGCACAACGCGCCTTGACGTGCTGAGTTCACTGGTGCTTTTCTTTTCGCTCAATCTTGATTAGATCAAAAGTTATAAGCGAAAAACTTTTGACCTGTTTTTAGAGAAATTTTTACATTCATACCCCCCAAAACCCCCCTAAATTTTGAACGAGCAACCAAGGGTGAGAACTCCAGGGGGCTAACCTACCTACCAAATTTGGTGTTTCTAGGTGCCATAGGAGCCAATCGCGAGGGGGGTTGCATCAACCCCACCATGCAACCCCCCCCCTGCCAGGTCGTGTTATGAAAAATGTCCTGCCAGGGCGAGGGTTAAAGGTTCCATGGGTCATTCTTTTCCGGACACCCTGCAATGAAAAACTCGTCTGAAAGTGTTACACATACCTTAACCTACATGACAAGGGGATTCAAGAATATGTCCCAACAGCCTGATGCTGACATGAAGTCTGTTTTTTTTTTCAGGGAAAGTTCCGAAAGCTTCTCACCGGGAAGATTGATTTTGCTCTGCAAGGGCCAACTCAAGTAATTTTGACATTTCGTGATGTGTTCGGCATGTTGCGAAGTGAAGAAGACCACCAATCGCTTCAGATTGCGTTCAATGAGCAGACGATCGAAGTGCACGTCATAAGAAACGGGTATCGTGACATGAAACAATTGGTGACTGTGCCCATGGAAAAAGGATACCTAAATCCACACAAGTATCACGGGTTTCGGGTAATTGGATTGTATGAACGAAAAGTAAGCTCTTTCCATCTACAAGACCTGCACGAAATTCGCCCTGATTCGAGGGGCGACCCCCTGTGGTCACATAGATTTCGAAATGAACGTTTGCTTATCACTCGAATCCACTTTCGTCCCATCGATCCAACTTACTTTGTTGACAAACATGTCATCGTGGACTGTGTACCAAGCTACGACAAATGTGCTGGTGAAAATCCGTGTTATAACGGGGGAACGTGTGTCAACAACAAATGCATTTGCAGTCTGGAGTTCAAAGGAGAAAACTGCTCTGAGAATCATTGTCCGACGGACAAGCCACCCTGCTTTAACGGTAAGTAGTAGGCAGCACATTTTCCAGAACTTGCCCAATGTCAGACGACAAGCAAGCGCAAAGAGCCAAGCTATAGTCCTTTCAAAACGGAAAAATATGCAGTTGTATCGCTACCTGGCCTGTAACGCTGTGAAGTTTAAAGGGACCCTCCCACCTTTAAAAGTTCTTGAATTGGTCTAAAAGTGATGTCGTTTCGTTGAGAAAGATCAACCACGAATATCCACGAAATTTCACCGAACAATTTGCACCGGTTTTCAAGATATTGCACTTTAACTTTTGTTTACTTTTTGGGTCTTCCGTTGTTCCTGTGACGTCATTTGGAAGCAATAATTTGGCACCATTGAAGTGCGGCACAAAACAGCATTTACCACCACGTTTTCCCAAGTGTTTTTGCACATGATTTAAAATCGTAGGAATGGCACTAAAGTCAGAAATTCAGAGGGGACATTCAAATGCATTAGCCCCTCTGAATCCAAAGTGCTGCAATTTTGAAATTAGATATTTTCGATTTAAGGCATTTCTCGATGTTGTGAGTCCCCAAACCGGTAATTGCAAGACAGGGACCTAGGGTGCGTTCAGAGAGCATGGAATATTCACCGTCCTCGGGAATATTCCCCGTGCAGCGAGCGAAGAGGCTTTTCGTGTGTAGTTTTCGTCTAGATCGTCGCAGCTGCGCCAGATTAGATCCCATGTTTTGTAGGGTTTCTCTGGCATAATTGTCGTTTATATGCAAGTGTTTTCCTGATGTGTCCAACATTGCTTGAAGTGTCATAAGTTAAATTTGGAAGAATTTTATCCAGAACATGGGGTTATTAACCCTCGCCAGGCGAGGGCCTTTTCCATAACACGGACGGCGAGGGGGCGGGGTTGGTACGACCCCCCCCCATCTGGTGATTGGCTCCTATGGCACTTAGAAACGCCAGGTTTACAGGGTAGTTCAGTCAATATGAGGTTTCGCACCCGTGAAAATTTGGTGACTCTAGATCAATATTTAGGGGGGTTTTGGGGAGAATAGGTACAAAAATTTCGCTAAAACATATTACAAGTTTTTTTTTCGCCTTTTCCTTTTTACTTAGAAAAGATAGAACAAAAATAAAAGCACCAGTGAACTTAGGACGTCCGTGCGCATCGGATGATATGCTTTGTTAATTCGCTGCACCAAACACGAATCCTACCCCGAAATGTATCCCGAAATGGAAACACCCTCAGTTTGTTTTACAATAGAAAAACACAATTCTAAAGAATAGTGTTTGTCTAATGAAGAAACAACCTTCGGGTACCAATTTAACCCTCGCCCTGGCAGGGCATTTTTCATAACACGACCTGGCAGTGGGGGGGGGGGGCGATGCGACCCCCCTCGCGATTCGCTCCTTTGGCACCTACTAGTTAACGCCAGACGCCTTGAGACCCTAATTTTTCGCGATTATTTTTAAATGCGTGGAATAATTTCAACCATATTTAGAAAGTAGCGGTTTCAAGACCTGCCGAAACTTTTTCTTCAAATACATTTTGTTGTCACTTAAATATTGGTGGCACTTGTCATTGACTCGTAATGTTAACTGTTTTTCCATCCTGGATAGAGGCTTTCATACGTCATATGACATTAGGCTCCGCCCACGACTGCAGCATTGACCCGTGCCCATCAGCGACCTCTGTACAAACGACACCCCTGCCATCTGTAAAGGACTATGCATTTCGCTGACGTTTCACGTGCTATGAATCAATTGCAGCAGACGGTCAAGTAAATGTTAGGCTCTTGTTGACTCTTGTAGGTATATGGGACCAAGAGGACCATCAATCCTCAATCTTCTACTCACACATGCTTCGAACAAACGTTAACGATTCCTAACAAATACGATTTTCGATGTACATAGGATATCTGTTTGGTGAAATACGAGCGAGCCTTATGATGTGAAGCGAAGGCAATTAGCTAATTATTGCGCAGGTCGATGGGTGCATAGCGATGTACAAATCAGGAGCTACTTGATGACATCCGACATCCCATTATCGCATTATCTGCAACACCATAGGCTTTAAATACGGGTGAATATTTCCTAACCTTATGTCAGTTATCCCTCGCCCGTATTGGTGTTTTTCCAGCCGCGAACGTATAAGGGGGGGTCCGTTGGACCCCCCCCTTGCCGTTTCGCCCCTGATCGAGCTAGAGCTTCGCGGAAAAAACGAGCGTGTTGCCCGTGACGAGAGGAAGCCGATGATACCCAATTTTAAGGTCCTAGGTCATTGGTTGACCTTGCAGGTCAGGTCAATGACCCCAAAGGCGGGAAAAACGGGGCCTCTTAGAACGTCGTAAAGTGTGGCTGCTATGGGTTTTTTCGGGGTGCTGATCACGAATATCATGTTAGTTTTGATCACAGATGATGTCTTTATGTATTTAGGCCAGGTCGGGTCAGGTCAGGTCAGGTCAACCAGTAAGGGTATTCGTAGTAGGTGGCAACCGCCTCTGACAGCTTCGTAACATGTTACAAAGGCACCAAAACTACTTCGTAAATGTTCATATGGTTGCTAAATTCGAATTCAGCTCCAAAAACTGGCCTAGAAACATGTAAAACTCGAAAAAGTGAACCGAGGTCATCAAAGGTCAATGACCTGACCTGACCTTCAGGTGACCTTGACACCCACCCTAATGCATGGGGGCAACATCATATCACATGTTTGAACGCTTGAAACCACGAAAAGACTGCAAACGCGCGGCTAATGTGAGCCGACATACGCCGAATCGCGATTCCAGCCAAACATGGTCTCGAAAAGTAGGTCACAGGTCAAAGGTCATTTGGGTCAGGGTCATGAAATTTTCAGGGTAGGTGTGAAATTGATGAACGCGAGGGTACTGAAAGTGTCGTCGCGATCGGCCGCTTTTTACGCGAGTTATTCGCGAAAAACCATGGGGGGTCCGTTCGACCCCCCCCCCCTATACGGGCGAGGGTTAAATGCCATCTGCCAGTCATTTGCAGCTTATAAAAAATAAAACAAATATCAGCGAACATATCAGCATTGTACAAGCAATGCACATTGAGCATTTATGGCTCCTCAGTCATCATGTCGCTCTTTGGGCACTGTCAGACAAGACGTTACGCACAACTCCACCGGCTTTCGGCACCGATCGACCGTCCCCGCTCCCCGCCACAGCGCGAGTGACCTCGCGCCGGCCCGAAACCGCCGCAGGCCAAGTCCACAGAGGCGGGGCTTAGCTGTGACGGCATAACGTATCACCGACTGACTGGTGATAGCCTCTACACGCCAGGTGAAAATCTTGCTCGAAATTTAACATTACGAGTCAATGAGAAGTGCCTGAAATATTGAAATGGCGACAAAATATCTAAATTGTAAAAGTTTCGGCAGGTCTTGAAACGGCTATGTCCTGAGCTTTGCTGAAATTCTTCCATGCATTTAAAAATAATCGCGAAAAATTAGGGTCTCAAGAGGTCTGGCGTTAAAGGTAGTGTGCCACCTTTGAAAGATTTCCCATTTTATTTTTCCTAGGATAAGAAGCTTCTGTTTTTACCTAATATCGCAAAAAAATCAAAAATGGGCCTGGAATAGTGCCTTTTTCGCCTAAAAGTTTATCGGTTTTTCGATATGTATAATAACTGTAGTGGGCTGAACTGCAAACAGGCGTCGGCAACAATCGCGAATGCGGCGCACATGTGACAATAAGCAAAGGTCATTATAGAGTTACGACGTACGGGAATGAGTTATCAGCTGTCTAATCGTAGACAACACAATGTCGAGCCTTAAACTGTAAGCCTGTATTGGTATTGTTTCTTTTATTTGGCTGTCGAACATTATTTATGGTTTGAAATATGATTTTATGTAAAATAATTGATATGAAAAAGCCGTCTCGTTATGACCCCATTTCACCACACGCAAGTGGCAGAAATGACAATGATCAGCTGACGCATTTTTCTTGGCCAAAGTCAGAGCGCGCGGCCCGACGCACCACCACCGCACCACAAAGTATGAGCAGAAGCCGCGCCCAAAGCCAGGGCCCCGGTAACGTGAGGTAGCCGAGTCGGGGCAGCGTGCGCTGACCCAAGCCGGGGCCGCAGCTTTGGGCGCGGTCTACCGCATCCCCGCGGGCAGCCCCGGGCTATCACATGGCACCGGGAGGACGCGCGGCCCCGGCTTGGGTCAGCGCACGCTGCCCCGACTCCGCTACCTCACGTTACCGGGGCCCTGGCTTTGGGCGCGGTCTACCGCACCACCTAACAGGCGTGTTCGAAACCGCAGGAGATGATGATGAACGGGTTTATCGAAACTTGATTGGATGAGCCATAGATAACATGAACTACCTGGATTGGACACTCGTTTTTGGCGCGAAAAATAAGAGGCCACTTTGGCCTCTTATTTTTAATGACGGATTTTTAATAAGTATTTTAACCCTCGCCGGACCTATTGGTTTTCAACATACGCGCCGGCCGAGGGGGGGGGGGGCGGGTAAGACCCCCCCTCGCCGTTTCGCCCCTGGTGGAGCTAGCGCGTCGCGGAAAAAACGAGCGTGTGCGCCGTTACGAGACGCAGAGATTGGTACCCGATTTTAAGGTCCTAGGTCAACCGGTGACCTCTGAGGTCAGGTCAAGTGCCCCAGGGTACGGTTCAGTTTTTGGTGAATAACTTCGCAAAAAACGGCCGCAGAGCGCCGATTTTGGCAGCATCGTGTTCGCCTCGCTCAGGCGCGTCGAATGATATACTTTTTGTCCGGGTCAGGTCAACTTGGGGTGTTGACCTCAGGTCAAGGTCAGGTCAGCACCCCCAGGTCACGAAGTTGGTCGAAAGAGGTCATGTCGCATATCATTCGATTCGTCAGGCCTTCCTGAGTCCATTGGTGCCTTTCCCGACTCGCTAGCTCAATTTGATCAAGAGTTATTGACGAAAAACTAATTTGACCTTGATGACGTCATAAATGTCGTCACGCAAGGTCAAAATTGCAAAAGTGACGCATCTAACCTTGCAAGGAGTGCATCAAATCACGATTCTGTGTG